CCGCGCCCCCGCTGTCCGAGCAGGCGCCGCGGCTGGCGGGCGGGAAGGGTGGAGGGGGGGTCGCCCCGCGCCATGGCAGGCGCTGAGGGGAGCACGTCGCCGCGCGGTGTGTGGGAGGCAGCCTCCTCGGCCGCCCCTGGCCCTCCGCCACCCGGCCGGTCGTCCTAGGTGGTCGGCAGCCTGGTCCCCACTGGAGCCGGTGGGACCACAGACTCGCCCGGTAGCATCCGTGGGAGGGAGGCGACCCCCCGCCGCGAAGTGTGTCGTCCCCCTCCCCCCCTTGCCCCTCAGCAGTGCCCGGGTGCCGGGTCCCTCAGCGTTGGCCAGGGTCTTTTACACCCCTAACGCTGCTCTCTGCTGCTGTGGGCCGTGGTTTCGTTCTTCTGTTAATAGCTCGCTTCAAGCGATTTGTGAAAAATGTAAACATAGGAACAAGATGGAACAAGGTAATTCTGCTTCTTAATCCATGTTTAAACTCAACCCATGACTGAAATGAAGGCAAGCGCAGTGAACTGCACCAGCACCTCCCCTAGATTTGCTTAAGTTCTTCAGTTTTTACAGAAGTACCTCTACGTGTCAGCTGGACACTTCCCTCCTTTTTGAGCGCTACGGGTACAACCTGTAGTTTTTAATGGCCTGTCAAAGGTAAGGATGGCAGTGGACCATGTTTCAGATATTGGTGGATTAGATATTTATTGGCCCAGGAGTAAATAAACCTCGTGAAATGTTGGAGAGTAAAATTGTTTGTCATAACGTGAAGGACTGTGGGGGAAGCAGAGTTGGTGGGTTTGCCTTCAGGATTCTTACCTGATTCTCTATTTTTTTAGTTTCCTCCCTGTTTGTCACATTCATCTCAGCCTGTTTCAAAATCTGCAGCAGCTGTTCTTCAGTTTCCTTAAAACAAAGAAAGGCACAATGCACAAATACAAGTTTAAGAGACACCCTGATACTTTTAAGCTACCAAAAATAGACCCCATTTGCAAGCAGCTATTACAGTCAGGATTTCCATGGAAACATTAATAAAGAAATCTTGAGCCAATTAGAATAATTATAGAGCAGCGCTGCCATGCAGACTGAGTACCTCTTCTGAGAGTCTGTCTCTTGATCATTATTTGTTTTTTAAAGCACAGAAAAACAAAAGATAAGATATATTTGTGTGAGGTGTATTTCTTGGTTCAGCACTTCAAAAATAGCTCATATTTACATTTCTAAGCAAAAGTTATAAATACCTTTATAGCAACAGTGGCATTAAGTTAATAAACTAAAAATGAAAGAATTAAGATTAAAAGGAATTTCTTAAAAGAAAGATCCAGTTAAAAATTAGCCTGTGTAAGTTTTTTTATCATTTTTTTTCTTCTTTCTTAGAGGTTGGTGCTTGCTGATATCTAGCCATATTTCTTAATTCATTTTATTACATTTTAATTTCTTTATGAAGTTACAGTATGCTTGGTGTGAAGATAAATGAGATAATACTGGTCCCTGTATTAAGGAACATCAAAGCTAAGCTGAGACCTATGAACATTTATACAGATATTCTCAAAATTAAGGATCTAGAATTCTAAAATGGCCCTTTGTTTAAGTCTTTTTACGATTAGGTTGTGGTTTGGACATGGTCCAAACACAGTTGGAGTCCAAATAATCATGTCCAAATAATTTGGGATTCCCTGCTGTGTCTGAGTGTTTCATTCCTGTCTGATTTCTCTCTTTCAGTTCTCATCCAGATTTACTTCTAAACAGTATCCATAAAAAGTCAGGCAAACTGTAATCCTGCAAACACTATGCATATGATGACTTTCACTGTTGTTAGTAGCTATATTCTTACAAAGTTAAATATGGATAGAGAGCTGGCTTACGATTTTTCTGCTGTATGACCCAAATGCATTTTGCCGTGAAGGATAAATGGCTAAAGTGGTAGGATGAGGAATGGGGTTATGGCTGGAAGAGAGAAGCCTTTGAGGGAAGCCAGGCTTTCTACTCTGGGTTAATGGAAGGCTGAAGCTCACGGCCAGTCCTGGCCTCTTTATGTGTTTCGCACAACCTCCTCTTTTTCTCCTCTTCCCCTCAGGGGAATAGCCGCAACAGACCAGACTTTCTGGGTTGTCTAGAGACAAAGTTGACAACCATTTTGTCAGAGTTTTGCATCAGTTTCATTATCACAGTTAATTTGCTGCTTTGGGGTGCTGCACACCTTGCTAGAACTCCTCCTGGGGATAGCAGGCTTTTACTGTCTTTGCAAAACACATCTGGTTTAAGGGTGTAGTCTCTTATTGCAGGTAGATATGAAATAATAACAATAACAATAATAATATTTAGTATTTATAACACTGCATTGACATTTAAGCAAGGTGTTAATGGAATAGCTGAAATGTATAAATGGTAATGTAACTTGAATATGCAGTGAACAGCACATCTTCAGCACTGGAAGTATGAGGCTGGGAAATAACACACCTCTGTAGCAAAATAACAAAATTCACATTTTTCTTGGTAAATTTTTTTTTTATATTGATCTCACATACTACTTCTTGCAATAGTCATCATCATCGTAATGCTGAGAAACCTAGGTAATGACTCAGGATACTATGTTGTGCTAGGTGCTATACATTTATCAAAAGATGTTTGCTACCCAGATGCCTTATAAGCTGATGGTGAGTCAGCAAGTGGACATAAGGAACACAAATGGGCATGAAATACACAAAGACACTGTGAGATTGATGAGCAGGGAAAGGCAGTAGTCACAACACATCAAAACCAACCATCATCAAGGGCTTTTATCCAGGCTTCACAGAAAAGAGAGTCTTTGTGGAACCTATTTAGTTCATTTTTTTATATTCAACAGGAAAAGATACAGTCTCTTGATTTTAGTAGGTGCTTCTGAAAAGCACCGCGCATTATGAGGGTTTGCAAGAAAACAGCAGGAGCTGTTAACAAAACTACATCTAGGCATCTACTGATTCTGGATAGCTTATGGGGTTTGGGAGAATCATTAAGTTTAAAGCTTGTTACATCTCTAATAAATTACTATTGGGTAGATGCTGTTTTGATTTGTAAGAGTAAGAGAAAATGATGAAACTATGCCACTGAAGAATTTTTGGTAAAAATGACTGTGTTGTGTTTAGGTTACCTGATTTTTGAGGCATAGAACTTAGATATTGAAACTTTTTGCTTTGGAAAACTTTATAGACAAGACATGGATGTTTCTTCGTCCTCTTAGGGAATATTTTCTAAGGCTGATAGTTATCATCCATGCCACCCAGTCATGCTGTCTATTTGGTGTTGGAAATAAATGGAAGTTACTGTTTAGAAAATATCTGTTAACATCAACAAAACTATTGGTCTGTGTACTGAGCTCGTTTCAATGACAAAAAAATGTTATAGCTGAAGAGTTTGTAAAACTTGTTGGATATCAGTATCAAATATTTTATTCAGATGATGACTATGCTGATTCTCAATAGCTCTCTTTCACACATGAATAAGGAATAAGAATATATGTAGCTAGGTATGAATGTATTTTTAACAGTTGCTAAATGTACACAGGAAGGGAGGCTAAAAATGGTTCTTCCATTACTGAGCTTTAAATTGAATGCTGCACAATTTTAGGACTTTTCCTTTGTGAACTTTTAAACAACAGATGAGCTTTTTCAGATTGATGAATAGAAGGAGTTCATATAAAAACTGACTTAAATATTTAATTCTAGCCTGATATCTTAGTTGCAATGCAGCAGTTTTGTTGATTTTATTTTTTTTAATACTTGTTTGGTAGTTGGTTAGCTGGGGGTTGCGATGATGTGTGACTAATGATCATTTGATGTATGAGTATACTTTTAGTTGTTTAATGTTATGAATAAATAAAATTTATAGGGTGAGAAAAATTGTAGGTGGACTCTTTCAGATTGTTGAGAGTCTTGTAGAAGTCTGATAGAAATAGCCAGACTTGTACAGATTTGGCTTAATTGTTTTCAGTTTTATGCCTGGCCCAAGCGTCACTGAAGAGTACCTGAATGAGAATCGCAAGACCAGGTGTTACGATTCCTTCCTTATTTAAGTGTTATAAAGGAATTCTCAAATGCTAAACAGAGGCCTTGCACTCCAATATATGGTTGCATAGTTTGGATTTCCTGAGCTGGAGACCTTTCAGAACATCCAAAGGCAAATAGTTGTTTATGTGTGTTTGAAAAAGTTAAAAAAAAAAAAAAAAGTAACAAAACTTGAAATAATAAAAAATGGCATTCATATGGCAGACATGTACTGGCTTAATCCAGCAGAGGGAGTAGCCGACCAATGTTGGGATTGGCTTTGGGAAAGCTGTCCCTGCGAAAATTTGTTATGAAAGCCATTTAACTGCCTGTATATTATTTAAAATTATATTATTTGTCATTAATTACAGTGAAAAGTGATGGATTGTAATATTTTATTAATATAGTCAACCATCAGGATATACCTTGCAAGTTACATTTTTGTTGAGAAGATTGAAGAGATGCTAAGGTTGGAATCAATGTGTTGATTAGTGTTATAAATATTCAAGGTGTCTAAACTGAAGACAGTTGCCTTTCATTGTGTCTGCGCATAAAGAAATATTTTTCTTTGCCTTTTCATATTGGT